CAATGTGTCTGTAACAGTACACCAGTATAAGGTTCACCTATAATTGCCCCAGAAGGAAAATATGTAGAATACCAAAAACAAAGTTTATTATAAATGAAGAGCAAACAATGGCCAGTATTAAAAGCTACTCCACCTCACTGATGACAAAAAAAATCAGACATTACTCACAAATCGTAAATCACATATTTGTAAATGGCTGGCAATGCTTATATTGAAGCATTCAACTTAAGGTTCATGCTAATCCTAGATAGTGGATAAAACTTTTCCAGAGTTTCATCAATATTTAAATATAGGCTATATCACAATTTCAATGAAAATGCCATTAAAAAGACATTTACGGCCCTCCCTGGTGGCGCAGCGGGTTAAAGCACAGTTCTACAAAGCTAAAAGCCATTTCCACATAAGTTCGATTCCCGCCTGCCCCGGAGGTAACCACATGGTGCAGCAAACCACTCCTGACCCGCCCGCTGCTCCCCTCAGCAGTGTACTTCTGCCTGTTCTGCTCCCCACTGTCTCTGGTGAAGCCTCTCGCCGCCCCTGCACCTCTGGCCTGTACCCCAGTTCTGTATGCATAAATAAATAAATCTTTAAAAAAATAATAAAAAATAGACATTTACATTTTGATAACCAAAAACAAAAGGAAAGAAAAATAGAAGCCCAGTTTTGAGTTACTGAGTTCACCCCTCTGTAGCATACTTCAAAAGCTGTACCCTTTCAGGCCTTGTCTTCATTGAACTGCCTGACTCTTGTCTAATCTCTCTGAGCAGTCTGCAGTAAACATGTCTGTATGGCTTTTCTTCCTCCTCCAGTGGATTTATCTTTTAGGATGTTGCTTTCAGCTCTGTTCCACCTCTCCCTCAACTCCTATGTTTTACACTAAGATCTTTTTTCATTCCAGCTACCAGCCACACACATGCATGCAGGCTTTGGAATCTACCCCTCTGCCATTCACGCCTATGTTTTCAGACTTCACTCATCTCAGCAATATGACACAGCTGCCAAGCTTCCAGTGCCTGTTGAGTAAGAGCCAGAACATTTTAAAACATCTCCAAGCCACTCAATATAAGCCACTCCTTATCAGATTTTCTTATTCAGTCCCAGGGTCTACCACATAAAAAAGCTATAAGGGGCCCTCCCTGGTGGCACAATGGTTAAGGACACAATACTGCAAGCTTAGCTGCAGCCACTTCAGTGCAAGTCGATCCCAGGCCCCGGAGGGGATCCACACGCTGTGGCAGACTTGACCCTCTCCTGACATGCCCGCTGCTCCCCTCAGCAGTATACTTCGTTGATCTGCCTACTCTGTTCTGTCTCTGGTGAATCCTCTCACCTCCCCTGCACCTCTGGCCTATATCCCAGTTCTGTATGTATAAATAAATAAATCTTTTAAAATAAATAAATAAAATATTTTCACCTTCTAAAAAAAGCTCTTTCACATCAGATTGTGTGACAACTTGCTTTTAAAAAGCTATAGAGACTACAGAGGAGATACTAGATAGCCAAGAAGACAATTTCAATGTAGGAGAATTTATGGGTAAAGTAGGAATTGCCTTTTGCTGAGAAAGAGAAGGTTGATAAGCTAGAATATAGTTCTGAAACCCTGTACCAAAATTAACCCCTTTTTTCCATCTCCAGCTGGGAGTTGTAGGGGGGTGAGGGCAGTTATTAGTCTAGGGCAATCCCAACTTAACCCACTAGGCATTCCTAAAAAGGACCCAGAAAGACAAAGCATACCATTTCTCTTAGTTTACCATGATAGTTATAAAGATCCCTCTAGCTGTGAAATCTGACACTACACTATTCTGCCACTAGATAAGACCCACTCCCTGATTAGCAAGATGAAATTCTGACTGAATTACATTCCACAGGACATATAAATGGCAAATGTTACAATGTCTATATTTTACCATAACAAAAAGTACTTTACCAGAACCAAAAAATATGCAAACTTCTGGAAATGCACAAATGGGCAGGCTACTCAGAGAAAGACAGGCATATCGGCATGTCTGGGCTTGGGGATGGCCAGCCAGGTAATAGGGAGAGTCATCAAAAAGATGAGGCTCCATGATGACTCTCTGAGAGAGAGCACTATGGCAATGAGTCAGGTGGCAGGGACAGTGTGGCTTCTCTCAAGGTTAAAGCATCAGTTAACCAGCTCAGAAATTAGGGACAGTAAATATGTAAAGCCGATTTTTAGTAATAAAAACAAATTAGGAATAATAGTAAAAATAAATAAATAAAAACAACTACACTGAGCCATGATTTGGGCCCAGCACTGTGTTTAGCACTTGTATATATGCCATGTTATCTAAGACTGCACAGCAATCCTTTGAAGGGGATTGTTTTTCCTGCCTTTTATTGGGATGTAAACTGGGTGCAAAAAAGCACATCTTCACCAAGATCATAACACAAGTATTGGATTAAACCAGAGTCTGAGATGATTTGTAACTCAGTGGCCTATGGTTTTGTACTACACGATGCTGATTTACATGGAGATCAGCCTCTACTCAAAGAGTGGGTAATCTCACAGCCTCCAATTCATTGGAATAGATTTGATATAATCTTTCATCAATACCTAGCACACTCAGGATTAACCTCAAAATTCAGTTTCCTGATGAAAAAACAAAGTAACCTTTGCAAACAATATAGAATTATTTACTACTCCAGAGAGTTTTCCAGCACTGATATACAATTTAACAATTACATGGATAAAAAGTACCTACATATTAATGTTGAATCAATCTTTCTTCATCATCCAATCAAGGCCTTGACATCAGAAAACCGGTGCTAAAATTTATAGAGTATCTACCGCATATAAGGTCACAGCCTGAGTACCATGCAGGAATACTAAAATATTTGAATAATTCCCCCTTGCTTTCAAAAGCTTGTAATTTTAGTATCAGAGGCAAGACAAACACACAAAGGACACATAAGAACAAAGGTGACATACAAATGTGCAAATTAACATAATACACTGGACACTTAAGTGCTAAGGAAATAAGGCAATTTATGTGCCCAGATCAGTTCCTGGAAGACGTGTATATATAACAATGTTAAGGAGATCAACAAAAGATGGTGAGGATAAGAAACACCAACTTTAAGATAGCTGTAGGAAATCAATAAGGACTTACTCAGTTCATTTAAAATAACAAAAGGCAGAATTTATAAAGTAATTAATATGTTAAAATGGTTAAATATTAAAATGTTTATTTATTGAATTGGGTATCAACACTCTTTTCTCATCTTGCTCTATCTCTAATAGCAACCTTGTTCAATTTCTCTTGGCCAAAGTCAGGAGCTGGCTATACCAGACAAAAACTACATCATGAATGTAGCGAGGCTCTAACACATAAACAAACGCTATACAACAAAGGCAAGGCCACATGGGAGGCAAAATAAGGAAAAGGAGGTATAAATAATGCCCACTAACAAATAAAGAAAGCATATTTTCTAAAAGTCAGAGATCATGACCAAGGTCACACATCTCCCTCCCTATAACAGAAGTTTTGAGTGAGTAAAGTACCAGAGACTCTGTCAAGGATGGAATTATATTCACCATGATTTGTTCTGGGAGTCATGTTCCTATTGTTTCAAATTAAATACAAACACACAGTCCTCTGGTCCACATCAGACGCTTTGGCTGTTATGCTGCTTATTTTTTAATCCGACACAGCTGTAATAACCTGAGTCGATGCAGACTCAATCTCTTCCTCCACTTTGGGGCCCCTCTGTCACTCTCAAAGTATCCCTAGGCAGCTCTGAGATACAAAATCCTCACTCAATTTCTTGTCCCTCTCATTTTAATCCATTCAAAACTCCTGTGATAAAAGAGCAACCGCCAGACCTGAGACACTTTAGTTTCTCTTTGGGGAAATGAAATTGATTTTCTTCATTTTCACACAAGAGGATCCCTGGGTAACAATATTGTGTCTGGTCATACCCATAATAAAAAAATGTAGGCAACATTTTTTACTGTACCCAGAGATTGGAAGGTTTTGTGGAGTTCCTGTGTTGGGGATAAGAATTCAGCCTGATGCTATTAAATCATGAGTTTAGTAAGCATCGGGGTGATTCTGGCTACAAGACGAAGTTCAGTGGGGCACTCCCATCTACTCAAACCACGAACAGAGGTAGGGAATAAGTGGGCAAGGGGCCGGCTCCACATTCTCACAGATACCTCTTACCATATCCCTTCCCTTCTCCTCTTTCTACACTTTACTGAGCAGACCAATCACTTTGTGCTTTTGAAAAAGAATACCTGAGGGCAATTTCCAAGGGGAAAATTACAACAGAAAAATACAAAAGAGATTCAGGGACCCTGAACCACCTTTTCCAGCCCCCAAATTCACTTTTATTCTGTAAGATGGCTTACAACTAAAGGAAGAATATATTAGGATGGTAGCTTTTCAGTACTTTTTAAAAACAACCTTACATGGGACTGCAATACAGAACAGTAACAGCAAAGAACTGGTTGAAGGGAGGTGTGAGGCTGGAGCCCCACAGCTCAGTCTCCCTTGCCCCAATGCCAGCCCACTCAGACCTTTCTCTGTCAAACCCCACTAACATTCACTGAGTCAGAAAAAGAATACTAATGCTGAGAACATGCACACTGGCATCCAAAAATCTCCTACCAGGGAAGCCTCTGGAAATATCTCTCATTGTTCCATGGAAAGAACATCCCTAGCAGTAACACGGCTTTCCACGTACAACATGGAAATTAAAAAGTATTTCTACTTCTCAGTGTTCTCTGTCTCTTCTTTTATAGGGTTACTACAGAAAAATTGTATAAGACACTCTGGAGAAACAATTTCACAATCACTCTAGATATTAAGATGCTTGCTTTTCTATACAGCAAAGCATTTTCAGTTGCATTTATTTGGTAGTTAGTACCCAGTAAAACCCTCTTTCCATGCCATAAAAAAGATAAATGGATCCTGTTTCTCAAAGACCACATCTCCTCAACTAAGAATCAAAATCATTCATTAGCCATAAGAACTAACCTGCAGACGCGGGCTGGAAAATATAATTTTTGCCAAGAACGACACAGGTATTGCGAATGATCAATCACTCTGATCCAATCAAGTTCATCCATTGACACCTCAATGAAGTATGAGTAAGACCTATGAATCAGTAGGAAAAAGGCAGAAAAAAGCTTCATATTAAAAGAAAAATACAAAGTTACACTCAACATAACATTAAAATGTACAAAAAACATGCAATTCACTAATTTTATTTTCTGTATAATAATTGAATTCCAATAATGAGAGCTGTTAACATTCACCACAATGAACTGTCTTATCTCTCAGCATATCTATCTACACAGTTCCTTAAGGACAGGGACCTTGCCATATTTATCATCATATACTCAGGTCCAGCACAGTGCTTAATATATTCCCAATATTTGTTCCTTCCTTGCTCATACCCTACTAGCATAAATTTATAATACCGTGACTGAAAAAGGCCAAAATAGAGAAGGAGGAGGTATGCCTGTCCCTTGACCTTCAGAGGCCTCGGTGCTCAGGCCACTGTCTCAGGAGGAAAGCCAACTTGGAACAGTTTCCTACAGCATCTAGCTTATCTCCTGCTCCTGCTGATTCTCCTATCAACCTACATGTACAATTCAACCTGCAGAAAAATAAATGACATAGGTGAAGAGATAATACATGTTTCTTTTGTGTTTAACTTAAAATTTGCCAGCTAATAATCTGGCACTAATGGAACCAGCCCATTATCCTCCCCTGGTCAGCTACTCTGGACCATTACATGCTGGACCCCACTGAACAAATCCATATTCTCCTGTCATAGCCAAATTTAAATTTGAGATTCAGTTATTACTTGTACTGTAATATCAACAAGAACAATCTTGGAAGATTTAGGTGACCATAAATGTCAGCCTGCAACCAACAGTTGTGACCAGGAAAGGTCAGCTTATTTTGTGTCATCGCCTCATTTTCGGCTGTCCCCTCACTCCCATTCATTTTATTGCTCAGTTTCAAACTGGTTATAACCTTTTATTGAACCTCTCTGGGTTATCAGTAATGTAAGATATAATTCTACAACACATGTCAAAATCTTTTTGGCTTAACATTCAGAATTTTTCACCTTTACTTAGCATGATAACAACTTCTGTGAGAAAATAGCTGTTATGGGATAAACTTAAGTCCCCCATGAATATGACATATATTGGCCTATAAATATTTAACATCATGGAAACAAAGATAGCTACTTTCAGTTTCAAGCATACTAACCTTCCCTTTTCTAATTTTTATACTAATTTCATTATTGAATGGATAGATAAGCCATTTAGAAAAGGTCTATCACATAAAAGAAATGAAAAGTGCTAGCCCTCCCTGGTGGCGCAATAGGTTAGGACACAGCACTGTGAGCTGGCCACAGCCGCTTCAATCACAATTCGATCCCCGGCCCAGGAGGTGACCACATGGTGTTGTACCCACTAGCCCACCCACTGCTCCCCTCAGCAGTGTACTTTTTCGATCTTTCTGTTCTGTTCCCTACTCTGTCTCTGGTGAAGCTTCTCACTGCCCCTGCACCTCTGGCTTATACCACAGTTCTGTATGAATAAATAAATAAATCTTTAAAAAAAAAAAGTAATGAAAGTGCTATGGAAGTATTATTATTAATTAGCTTATAGTAATCTGATTACAATAAATTAATAATAATTTATATTATTAGTAATCAGAAACTCTTGGACTCTTGGTTAATGGCCTAACTCAGAGAGTTATGTGAATTAGCACCATTTTGCAAACTAATCAAAGTACATGTAACAAGATACAAATTAATAAAAATTAATACATATTAACATTAATTTAATATAAATGTTATGCTTAATAAAAATTATTAATTAAAAAAACAGAGACAACTGGAGGAGCATACACACACGTGCACGAAAAAGGTTGACTTCCATTTTATAAAAATTCCCTCAAATTGGCTCAAATGCTTAAAAAGCCAGCATAGTGGTTAGTGGTACTAACAAGAAAAATGCACTACCCTACACAATTTATAGGATATCATCTTAATTCTTATTAAGTCCTAAAGCCTTAAATCCCAGAGGCATGAGCAGGGTTTAAGAGTCTTGGTATGTTTTGGCTAATAATAAGCAGCAATGAGAGACACAGTTCCATACTTGATTACCCCTACTGTTGCTAGTTCTTCCTATATTATGGCTGAACTCTGAAGCCATAATGGTTGAAATTACCAGAGGGACTAGAAGAAAGGCAGAATCCTGAAGTCACTGTAAAATAGGAAGGATTCTCAGGCTGGATTTCCCTGAATTGTTTCATAAATTTGTTTTGGGGTTATTTATCCACATGCTAAAATAAAATGTTTTCTTCATTCATTGGGTGAAGTGCAATTTAAAAAAAATTTATTATAATATCCAAAAATAAAGAATCAAGTAAACTGATAGCTGTATAATCCAGATGATGAAATGTCAGACAACTGTTAAAAAAAATATTTTACTTACAAAAGTATAATTTAAAGTATGTTCATAAGATATTACGTTAAGAAATGAAGTTAAGTTTTTTTATATGCCCAATCTTTATTTTATAAACCTATGTGGGTTTATTTATGTGAGAGAAAGAAAGAATGAGTGAGCGAGAGATTATGCATAAATGCCTAGATATACAAAGACTAATAATGAGTAGTGAGGTTACGAACAATTTTTTATTTTTGTGGTTTTTTTCTATATTTTCTAAATTTTCCACAATAAGTACATATTTATCACTGCCTCTGGCAGACAAAAAGCAAAGTTATGTTTTTAAAGAAATATACTCTTTAATTCTGACCAGAGAGTAAAGCTTCAACAGAAGTAACAAAGTGATCACAAAGAAACAAAGCAAGAGATCTGTAAAACCAAAACAGATAACCACAGGCTAGATCATCTCTAACATGTCAGTTTCTCTCTAAGTCAGGCTAATGACTCACCGGCTATCCCGGTCCCACAGGAGGATGCGGATGTGATTGATGATGGATGGCTGACCGAGCTTAATCTCAATGCCAGAACGACAGTCATCATCAATTGGGTGCCTAGAAAATCCATGATCCAAATCATAATTTTGAGTATCACCATCTAATAAGGCAGATTTCAGCTCCCCTTTAACGACCTGGGCTCCATATTTCATTGTTGCAATGTTTTCTTCTGGTACTGTAGTTAAAGACAGAAAAAGCAAAGTCAATACTTACTTCTTATTCTATATTTGGATGAGAAAGATAAAATTCTATACCAGATTCTAGTATATACATTTAATTTAAAAATGGCAGAGATAAGACTATAGAGACAGAAAATATGGAATGTCTATGGGGATTAAGATTCTATCCACAGTTTTAATTTAATGATGCCAACAGGGCCACAAAGTCCCTGGTACAGATATTATTAAGAAAAGTTAATAACACTAGGAAAAATGCATACTAGAACAAACAAATTAGCTCTACTGAGCTTATTCTATTAGTAGCTTTAACTTAATATCTACTGGGAAAAAAACAGCAGGTAAGATGACCTGTACTTGCCCTGTGGACTGAGCATAACATATTATGTAAAAGCAAAGCAGACAGATCAGGCATCTGATAAAACAACAGAAAAAGTAAGATTCTAATACAGCAGAGCTGTTGATCATACATAGACTATGTCTAAAAGAAGATATGTTACATTACTTCACTTGAGGATTTCTTAAAAATGAAAATTCAGGCCCTCCCTGGTGGCGCAGCTGGTTAAAGCACAGCGCTGAGAATCTAAAGCCACTTCCGCATGAGTTCGATTCCCGCCTGCCCCAGAGGAGACACACATGGTGTGGCAGACCTCTCCTGACCCACCCGCTGCTCCCCTCAGCAGTATACTTCGTTGATCTGCCTGTTCTGCTCCCCTCTCTGTCTCTGGTGAAGCTTCTCACCGCCCCTGAGCCTCTGGCCTGTACCCCAGTTCTGTATGCACAAATAAATAAATCTTTAAAAACAAAATGAAAATTCAGGAAGTTTGTCATCAAAATGAATCTTATGGTTATCACTGGAACCCCTCCTATCTCCTATATGATATTTGTTAAGTGTTCACTGTTTCTGAAACTTTGAATCCTCTGTGCAAATTTTGCTTACAGATCTGGAACCTGTCCTTAGATACTAACTTCTAAAACTGACACCCTCTGGAGAGACCAAAGACAACACAGAGTAGATGTTAAGAGCTTAAGCTTCAAAGTCAGAGTTTAAATACAGCTCCACTTTTAACCAGATCTACCAATTTGGGGAAATTCTTTTCTCTGAACTTCAGTTTCTCAATAGGGCAATACCTAGCCCTCAGATATTTGTGTTTATTCGTTTCAAAGATTAAGCGAGATAATGTTTGCAAAGCACATAGTAAGCTCTAAAAAAAATTGTTCACCATTATTATTATGAAACATATATAAAGAAGCATACAATAATAAAAGAACTAAGCAAGTTACAGACTGTAAATAAATACTGAATTCTCATAGTACAAATACATCTTGGCTATGTCATTTAAATAAGGGGAAATGTCTCCTATAATTAGGCTCTTAGGGAAAGGTGGTGGTAAGTAATTCATCATCAAAGATTTCTTGGAAAATGTGCATTAAAAATTTTTTTTAATGAGGACAGGTAACAAGAGTGCTCCAGAAAACAATAAATACAACTAAAAAATGGAGGTTGGGATGGATTTAGTTAACTTGCAAAAGCCTAAGGCAACTCTGAAGCAAAACAAAATATAACAGTGCTCAATTTCTTACCACCAGGAACTTCAATGCTACATATTGATAACTTCTTACAGTAATCACTAATATTCTTCATATGTGTTTTTCATTTTATTTAACCAACCTTATTAGTTACTTTAACTTGTCATAAAAGTCCTTTAAGTGTAATATAGCTACTAAGTCCATTTCACAGATAGAGAAATGGGGCCAAAGGGTTAGACAAACTAATGCCTAAAGTCATCCAACCAAAAGAGCTTGATTACTAGAACTAAGAGTAGAATATATAAGCAATCTGTCTCACAGGCCCTACTGCTTTTAACACAATTCTCTTGTCACCCTCATAAAGAAATTTGATGGGAAGGCCATACTTTCCCTTTTATCTCACCCTTTCCTTCTAAGACTACTCAGGCCCAGACACATAAAACAGTCTAATACAATGAAAGGAAAAAACTTGGACTTAACATTTTAAAAAGACTCATATTCTATCTATTAAAATTTTTTTAATAGATAAAGAGAACACATGTTCTATCACTCACCATATCTGAGTGAAGCCTCAATCTCTGAATGTTTTGCCATCTAAAAATAACAATATTTTGCCCCACCTACCTCACAGTCTTACCTGTAAAGATTACAAATAGAGTCCTTCCTGGTGGTGCAGCAGGTTAAAGCACAACACTAAGAAGCTAAAGCCACTTCCGCATGAGTTCGAGCCCCACCCGCCCTGGAGTCATCCACATGACGTTGACCTGCCTGCTGCTCCCCTCAGCAGTGTGCTTTTTCAGTCGGCCTGTTCTGTTCCCCACTCTGTCTCTGGTGAATCCTCTCACTGCCCCTGCACCTCTGGCCTGAACCCCAGTTCTGTATGCACAAATAATCTTTTTTTAAAAAAAAAAAAAGATTACAAATAAATAGTAAGTATAGAGCAATCAGGCAAAAGACACTTTCTGAAGGTTTACTGCACACCAGATGCCATGTGAGGGACCTAGGAGACAAACCCTGCTCTCCTGCTGCCTCCAATCTAGAGGTGAAACACTTTATAAGCAAGCAAACAAGCAAAGGCTTCACGTGTATGTTTTTTAGATATCAATGAGGAGTAGCTACCTAGTTAAGATTATTGTCTGTCTCTTTATGGCTACGTTTACAATTGAGGGCCCAAAGGCTGTTGCTGCTGGCCACCAGAACCAGCCCCTCCAGTTCTGCCACCATTAGCAGCGACTAAACTAGAAGGAGGAACTTGAGCTTTAGATTTAAAAACCACTGCTATAAACATAAGCTTCTTCACCTCTAAAATTTAGACAAGCTAGGAATAATATGCTAGTCACAACAGTTGCGAGTGATTTGAACTAAGTCAAAATGCAAGTGAAATTTTACCACAAAGCTAAGTCTTCTTTTGAAGTTTATTTCAAGAGTACTTGACAACATTTCAAACTGTTCATATAGATTCTCTAAGAGTATCTTTCACTTCAAAATGGGGAAAATTTACACAAGTGGAAATTCTTTCATAGTAACTATATCTCACAGTATAAAAATACAACTCCAAATATCTTTTGCAAAATTTGTAGTTAAATGATAACAGGAAAAGTAGTGAGAAAATTCAAGTCATCATAGAATAATTCAAATCATAAATACTCCTATTGCCATAATGTGTCTATTAGTAGAGAAAAAGAGCTTCCAGAGATACAGGCTAATAGTGACTAAGCAGGATACCAGGTAACAGTAAATCTTATTTAATGTTTGATGCATTTTATAAACATTAAGAATCAAGCTTGGGCCCTCCCTGGTTGGCGCAGCGGTTTAAAAGCACAGCACTAAGAAGCTTAAGCCACTTCCGCATGAGTTCAATTCCAGCAGGGCATGCCCCGGAGGTGACCACATGGTGTGGCAGACCTCTCCTGACCTGCCCACTGCTCCCCTCAGCAGTGTACTTCGTCATCGATCTGCCTGTTCTGCTCCCCACTCTGTCTCTGGTGAAGCCTCTTGCCGTCCCTAAGTCTCTGGCCTGTACCCTAGTTCTGTATGCACAAATAAATAATCTTAAAAAAAAAAAAAAAAAGGAATCAAGCTTGGAAGTTCCACAGGCAAGTAGAAACAAGCTAATTGTTAAGAAGAAAAACTTAAGAGAAATGAAGTAGGTAGGACCTGCCCCTAGCTACACAGTGCCAAAATCTGAGTGACACTGGGTTATCTTGTGGTCTTCTTTAATTGCTTTATGTTCTTAACCGTGCTTTACTGAACTTTCTAGATTGAGATAACAGGCCATTTTGGGGCTCACAATTATTTCTCTACCCACTACAATCTCTACCCCATTTTGTCCCCTCCAATATCTGTTCCCCAATCTGACTTTCCTGCAGAATGGAGAGACTTGTAATGCCTCAATGGCTTTCTTGACAACTCCTGCCTTAACTCTCCTCATTACCTCCACTCTCTGCAGGTGTCCTTCCTACATTTGGTGGCCCTGTAGTGAAACACACCACAAAACAAACAGGAAACCACCCAGCTAGGACAATCTTGTCAAAGAGTACTGGCCCTGGGAGTCAGATCAACACACTGGTCCTAGGTTGGGCATTGCTTTTACTCAGGAACTTTAGGCAAATTATAAAAATCACCAAATGAAAACATGTAAGTGCTGACAGTAACATTCATTCTACTTATTTAAAGAAAAAAGAATCCTTCAGCTGACTCCACGTGCTGGTCACTGCTGGTCGCCATCCTCCAGCAGCTCACTCACGTTGGAAACAAGAATGCATATCAGACACTGAACATCCATGAAGGGACACTAAGAAGTGATATGTGATGCCCTCAGATCACTTAGAAATGATCTGTGACATAAGCTACTGTTGGGAAGATACAATGGCAATAGAAGCCAGTTTTAAAGATTTATTTATTTATGCACACAGAACTGGGGTACAAGCTAGAGGTGCAGAAGTGGTGAGAGAATTCACCAGAGACAGAGTGGGGAGCAGAACAAGCAGGTGGACAAAGTACACTGCTGAGGGGGGCAGCAGGCGGCTGAGGAGAGGTCTGCCACTCCATGTGGATCGCCTCCAGGGCCCACTGAAGTGGTTGCGGCTAGCTTGCAGTGCTGTGTCCTTACCCACTGCACCACCAGGAAGGGCCCAGAGCCAGTTTTAAAGTATTAAGCCTATTGCTGTTATTACTGTCTGTGAGATGGGAAACAAATTTTACATTCTAATTTAGAGGGAAGGAATGGATTCATTCAGTCCCTCCCTTATTTAAAAACATCTGGATTTAGACTCTGTGCTAGGTGTGGGAAAGACAGATAAAAAGAAATAATAACAGTCATCAAGAAGCTCATTCTAGTAGGAATTTAGGCAAGAAAAGCAGTAATTGTAACATCAAGTTCCAAGCTCTCTGATTTGGTCTGGGTTTACTGGAAACTGTGGGAGTTAGGTACATGGCATATACTGCAGCACAGATTTAAACACATCTT